AGCGGGAGCGGGGAGCCGGAGGGCGACGACGCGGAGGGGGGCGCGGGGGCGGAGGCGAGCGTGGGGGTCCTGGAGGCGTCTGAGGAGGCGCCAGAGGCCGCGGAGTCTGGCGGCCCACGGCGGCCGCGGCAGCCGCCGCGCGCGATCGCCGGACGGGCGTGGGGGGCGGCGCCGCCGCCGCCGGCCGCGCCGGCGGACCCGCTGCAAGAGGTGCAGCTGCAGCTCCAGCTGCTGCAGGCGCAGCAGCAGCACCAGCAGCAGCAGCTGGCGCGCCAGCTTGGGCAGCCGCACGACCCCTTCATGGGCGCGCTGCGGCTGCTGCCCGCGGGCGCGGCGCTCGCGCCGCTGGCCGGGGGCGTCGGCCTGGCCCCTCTCGCGGTCGGCGCCGCAGCCGGCGCCGCTGACCTGGCCGCGGCTGGCGCGCAGGCGCCCATTGACCCTGGGTCATTCCAGGCGCTGCTTGCCCTCGCGCTGCAGGGCCGCGGCGCGGACCCTACTGCGGGCCTGGGCGGCGGCCAGCCGCCCGCGCCGGGCGCGTGAGGACGACGTACACAGTGAGTCACAAGCGGCGCCGTCAGGCGTGTCAGGAGAGTTTTGAGGATTGGTTGGGGGGGCTTGCCATATCATCCTGGGGGTCTGACCATCAGAGTTTGCCCTCCATGGGCGCTGCTTTGGCAGCCGCCGCGTGCGTTTTGAGGCGGCCCCTTGATAGCTTTAGGGAGCCTCAAGCGCCGCCGCCGCGCCCGCCAAGCCGTTTCATAGCAACAGCAGGCGTTTGCATGTTTTCGACCCCACGGACGGGGAAAGCGGCCCGCTTTCGCGGCACGCCTCGCTTTGCGCACTGCCACCAGTGTGGCGACCGCTGCAAAGGCCCCAGGCGGCGGTTTTGTACCCTCCAGGATCAGCCGCGAGAACCAAGGGCCGTTTGCTGTCGATTGGTCAATAACAGACTTGTTTTGATTTCCGAAGACTGCCGAGGCTGACTGTAAAGTATTCAGAGCGGCCAGAATCACCAGCACCCTCCTGTGTAACAGGCTCTTGCTTCTCGATGGCTTGTCGCTTAGCTGACAAGCCGGCCACCCTTCCAAACCATTGACAAGAATTACTAATGAAAGTGCACGTGCAGCTCAGCAAGCCTGACGCATCAGGCCAGCCAGGCGCAGTACTTCCAGCACAGCCACAGGCACAGGTGCGCCTGTGGTCAGCGCAGCCACTGCAGCTGCCGCTCCACTGGGCCTGGGCACTCACTCATGCCACATTCACTGTCGCGGTGCTTGAGCCTTGCAACCACGTGCTCGGGCACCCCAACGAATGCAAAGCTGGCAACCAATGACTTTTTTTGGTTGGCACGTGAGAGCTCGCTGCTGCCCTCACGTGTCGTTGTCGCTGCGCAGAGCCCGCCGCCCCCTTGCACCGCAGGCGGGCCTCTCCGGGGTTTGCTGCACGTCGCTCAAGCAAACCAACCTGGCGCCCCCAGCCGGCGCAGCCATTGCAGCCGTTGCTGCCCTCCTGGACCCGGCTTCCAGTTTTAGGTTTTCCGTCCTGTAGCCCTTCGTCATTGCCACCACTCATAGCTAGCAACGCAGCCGACCCGTGGGCGGCCAGCGCGCCGGCACCGTTTGCCAGCGTACACAGCGTCCTAGCCCCAGCCCCAGACCTCATCCACGGCTGCGGCAGCTGGGCGCGCGTCTCAGCGCGGCCCAGCTGCCTGCGGCGGGGCGTAGCGATGACTGGTAGGGTGCGGGGCTGTTGGTGCTGCTGATGCACAAGCGCATGCAGTTCCGCCTTGCATCGCAGCACTCATCTGCTTTCTGGACTGCCAAGCGAGGCGAGGGAGGTCTTGGCGTGCCAGACGGACTGCCAGCGCCCCATTCCTGAGACCGCAAGGAGAAACAGCTTTGGCGCATGCCTACTCTGCCCTGACATCACCCAAAACTGTCATTCCATTTCCAGAAGCTGCCCACAACCCTCATCCTTTGCAGAGTCGCAGTGTCTGTGTTGTTGTTACGTACGGTATGCAAAATCGAGCGTGGTTTGCTGCATGAAAGTCTGGACCACGGTGCAGCAAAAAGGGTCTGTCGGATGGAAGAGGTGCAGCACGCGCCGCCGCACCAGCCGCCCGTTGACGTTGACCGCCGGCGTCACCGGCGGCGGCAGCTCGAACTGCGGCGGCGGCGGCCGCGGCGCCGGCGGCGGCGGCGCGGGCGCCTGCTGCTGGCGCTCCTGGTGCTGCCGCTGGCCCGCGGCGACGGCGGCGCCGTCTGCAACGGAGGCGGCCAGGTCGTCGGCGGGCCAGAACTGGACGGCGCGCGTGGCGGCCGGCCGCAGGCGCAGCACGGGCGTGAGGCCGGGGTCTGAGCATGAGAAGTGGCGGCGGTCCAGGTAGGGGCTGCCGCAGGCGATCTGGGGTGGCGAGAGCGCGTGAGTCCAAGGATATAGTGTTTCAAGAGAGTTGCGTTGCAACTGGGATCCTGGCAACCAGCCGGGAAATCTTGAAGGTGTTGGTTTGCAGCAGGGGGTTGAGGCGGCCGTGCGCGTCGTCGCCATCTGATTCAGCAGCCGCTGCGTATGGCAACCAGCTGCGCTCGATCAGCCAATACCCACCCTCACCAGCACCGTCGGCCCCCTCGAGCAACCCCGGCCCGCCGCACCTGGCACATGCTGGGGAGCAGCACCAGCACCTTCCTCAGCAGCAGCTCCCGCTCCGCGCCCCGCTGCTGATGATGCGGCGGCTGCCAGGCCGCACCCGCGCCCCACCCCGCCGCGCTCGCGCTTGGCCCCAGCGACGATCCGCCGCTCGCGCGCCACAGCGACGCCATCGACCCCGCCGCCAGCGCCGCGGCGCCGCAGCGCTCCCAAGGCGCCGGGTCGGCGCCGCCGGCGCCGACGAGCAGGGCGGGGCACGCCAGCGCTGCGGCGGCGAGCGCGTCGCCGGCAGATGCAAAGGCGAGGACCCGGGACGCCCTCAGGTCGTACAGCGCGAAAAACGCCGGCCGCTCCCGCAGCGACGCCACCGCGGCGGCGTCTGTCAGGCTGCCGGCCAGCGGCGGCCCCAGGCGAAGCAGCAGCTGCTGGCGGCTGACGAGGCGGGCGCTCCAGATCGCGAGGTTCAGCAGCTCGTTGAACCGCGCGCGGAACTGCGCCGGCCCGCTGGCGGCGTCGCAGGGGCGGCCGCGCGCGAGGCGCAGGAAGATGTGGGTGAGCAGGCGTTGCTTGAACCCCTGGATGAGCGGCGGGCCCGCCTCTGACAGCGCCTCC